TGTGTCTTTGAAATCTTTTCTCACTTTGGTTTTATTTCACAATGACCTGTGATCCTACTTTGATCAAGCGTTTTAAAACTTTGATATTTGACAAACTTTTCAAAAATCACAATTAAGGCAGACACAGTGGCACACGCCTGTACTCCCAACACTTTGGGAGGCTGAGGCAGGAGGATTGCTTGAGCCCAGGAATTTGAGACCCACCTGGGCAATATAACAAGATCCCATCTCTACAAAAAATAAATAAAATTAGCTGCACATGGTGGCACATACCTGTAGACCCAGCTACTCTGGAGGCTAAGGTGGGACAATTACTTGCTCCAAGAGTTCAAGGCTGCAGTGAGCTATGCTTGCGTCCATGCACTCCAGCCAGGGTGACAGAGTAAGACCCTATCTCAAAAAAAAAGCCGGGCACGGTGGCTTTGGGAGGCCGAGATGGGTGGATCACGAGGTCAAGAGATTGAGACCATCCTGGCTAACATGGTGAAACCCCATCTCTACTAAAAAAAATACAAAAAACTATCCGGGCGAGGTGGCGGGTGCCTGTAGTCCCAGCTACTTGGGAGGCTGAGGCAGGAGAATGGCATGAACCCGGGAGACGGAGCTTGCAGTGAGCTGAGATCTGGCCACTGCACTCCAGTCTGGGCGACAGAGCAAGACTCCGTCTCAAAAAAAAAAAAAAAAAAAAAAATCAAAATTAAGCATTTTTGACCTCAAACTAACTTTAGGATGTTCCAGAGGACTCCTGAACCTGTCAAAGGATCTGCAAAAAAAGAAATATTAAACCAATTGGGCCTGTCTGATATATTAATTTATATGAGGCTGGGCACAGTGGCTAATGCCTGTAATCCCAACACTAGGAGGCCAAGGCAGGAAGATTGCTTGAGCCCAGGAGTTTGAGACCAGCCTGGGCAAAATATCGAGACCCCCATATCTACAAAAAAATTTTTTTTTATTTATTTATTTTTGAGACGGAGTCTGGCTGTTGTGGGCCAGGCTGGAGTGCAGTGGTGCCATCCTGGCTCAATGCAAGCTCCATCTCCCTGGTTCAAGTGATTCTCCTGCCTCAGCCTCCTCAGTAGCTGGGATTACAGGCACGCACCACCACACCCGGCTAATTTTTGTACTTTTAGTAGAGATGGGGTTTTGCCATGTTGGCCAGGCTGGTCTTGAAGTCCTGACCTCAGGTGATCCACCCGCCTCGGCCTCCCAAAGTGCTGGGATTATAGGAATGAGCCACTGTGCCTAGTCAAAAAATTTTAAAAATGTAAAAATAAAATAAAAAATAAGGCTGGGCATGGTGGCTCACGCCGGTAATCTCAGCACTTTGGGAGGCCGAGGCGGGCGGATCACAAGGTCAGGAGTTTGAGACCATCCTGGCTAACATGGTGAAACCCCGTCTCTACTAAAAATACAAAAAATTAGCCGGGTGTGGTGGCGGGCGCCTGTAGTCCCAGCTACTTGGGAGGCTGAGGCAGGAGAACGGTGTGAACCCGGGAGGTGGAGCTTGCAGTGAGCAGAGATTATACCACTGCACTCCAGCCTGGGCAACAGAGTGAGACTCTGTCTCAAATAAATAAATAAATAAAATAAATTATAAGAGAAGGATTGGCAAAATAAGAAATATTTCACCTTGGCCGGGCGCGGTAGCTCAAGCCTGTAATCCCAGCACTTTGGGAGGCTGAGACAGGTGGATCACGAGGTCAGGAGATCGAGACCATCCTGGCTAACAAGGTGAAACCCCGTCTCTACTAAAAAATACAAAAAAACTAGCCGGGTGAGGTGGCGGGCGCCTGTAGTCCCAGCTACTCAGGAGGCTGAGGCGGGAGAATGGCCTGAACCTGGGAGGCGGAGCTTGGAGTGAGCTGAGATCCGGCCACTGCACTCCAGCCTAGGCGACACAGCAAGACTCCATCTCAAAAAAAAAAAAAAAAAAAAAAAAATTTCACCTTGAGATATATTTATATGGGTATGTTATTAATATATTCAAAAATTATAAAACATCTAGAAATCTGATGTATCAGTCAATTTTGGTTCACAAATAACATTCTTGTCAATTATGTCATCATTACGATGGACTCAGACCAGGTTTTGGCCATGGCCACTTGAAGTCTTCATGTCCACACTTAATTGCCTTAGTCTAATGTCTTTCTGAAAGCTTCTTGCCGGCAATTATAATCCCAGGGAGTTATGTCTTCAAGGAGCTTCATGGAAAGAATGAAGTCTGACAAGTATGGGTTTCTAATAACTGTGAGTTCACACTATTGAACAAAATTTCCAAAACTTGGCCAGGCACAGTGGCTCACGCCTGTAATCCCAGCACTTTGGGAGGCCAAGGTGGGCGGATCACCTGAGGTTGGGAGTTCGAGACCAGCCTGACTAACATGGAGAAAACCCGTCTCTACTAAAACACACACACACACACACAAATTTAGCTGGGCGTGCTAGCACATGCCTGTAATCCCATCTACTCGGGAGTCTGAGGCAGGAGAATCACTTGAACCCGGGAGGCCGAGGTTGCGGTGAGCTGAGATTGTGCCATTGCACTCCAGCCTGGGCAATAAGAGCGAAACTCTGTCAAAAAAAAAAAAAAAATTCCAAAACTCGAATGAAGAAACTGATGGGTTTGTGAAATTGCTAATACAGATCAGAGCAAGAATTACTTACAAGACTGAATGAACTGATGAAAAAGAATTATGAATCCTTTTTTTTTTTTTTTTGAGACGGGGTCTCACTCTGTCACCCAGGCTGGAGTGCAGTGGTGTGATCTCAACCTCCGCCTGCCAGGTTCAAGCAATTCCCCTGCCTCAGCCTCCCAAGTAGCTGGGATCACAGGCACCCGCCACCATGCCCAGTTGATTATTTTTATTTTTTATTTTTTTTGTGACAGAGTCTTGCTCTGTCGCCGAGGCTGGAGTGCAGTGGCTGGATCTCGGCTCACTGCAAGCTCCGCCGCTGGGTTTACGCCATTCTCCCGCCTCAGCCTCCCGAGTAGCTGGGACTACAGGCACCCGCCACCTCGCCTGGCTAGTTTTTTGTATTTTTTAGTAGAGACGGGGTTTCACCGTGTTAGCCAGGATGGTCTCGATCTTCTGACCTCATGATCCGCCCGTCTCGGCCTCCCAAAGTGCTGGGATTACAGGCTTGAGCCACCGCGCCCGGCCGATTATTTTTTTTTTTAAGATGGAGTTTCGTTCTTGTTGCCCAGGCTGGAGTGCAATGGTGCGATTTCGGCTCACTGCTACCTCCGCCTCCCAGGTTCAAGCGATTCTCCTGACTTAGTCTCCCTAGTAGCTGGGATTACAGGCATGTGCCACCATGCCCCACTAATTTTGTATTTTTAGTACAGATGGGGTTTCTCCATGTTGGGCAGGCTGGTCTCGAACTCCTGACCTCAGGTGATCTGCCTGCCTAGGCCTCCCAAAGTACTGGGATTACAAGCGTGAGCCACCAAACCAGGCCTGGATCTTTTTTTTTTTTTTCACGGCAGGGTCTTGCTGTGTCACCCAGGTGAAGTGCAGTGGTGTGATCATGGCTTGCAGCAGCCTTGAATTCCTGAGCTCGATCGATCCTCCCACCTCAGCCTCCCAAAGTGCTGTGTTACAGGTGGGAGCCACTAGACCCAGCTGAATTATGGATTTTTAAGGCTGCTTTATGTCAAACATTGCGGGTTCTTTTAATATTGTTTTCCAGATTTAAGATTTTTTTCTTTTAAGCTTTGTATAATTTATAGTAATTTGGTAAAGTACTTTTGAAAACAAAAATGAAAACATTTGCTTTTCTTCTCTACCTGAACCCTCCAGAATTTAGAAGCAATTTATGATTATTCTTATTTTTACAGCAACATGGTTATTTGCATAGGTTCAGTAAGAATCTGTTCTCTGTCCAGGCACAGTGGCTCACACCTATAATCCCAGAACTTTGGGAGGCTGAGGCAGGCAGATCACTTGAGATCAGGAGTTCAAGACTAGCCTGGCCAACATGGCGAAACCCTGTCTCTACCGAAAATACAAAAATTAGCCTGGCGCGTTGGGCATGTGCCTGGAATCCCAGCTACTAGGGAGGCTGAGTCAGGAGAATCACTTGAACCTGCGAGGTGGAGGTTGCTGTAAGCTGAGATTGTACCACTGCACTCCAGCCTGGGTGACAGAGTGAGATTTTGTCTCAAAAAAAAAGGAGGGCCAGGCATAGTGGCTCATGCCTGTAATTCCAGCACTTTGGGAGACCAAGGGGAGCGAATCACAAGGTCAGTTCGAGGTGACTATAGGGAGAAAAATTATGTTTCAATAGAAAAATGATAGTTTACCTGTTATTATAGTAATGTTCATTGTTTGAGTTATTTATCTACCTGGAGACTGGATTAGATTCTGGATTCTTCTAGTTTTCTCTAATGTCTGGCTACAATCTCTAATTAAGAATGAGAACTGGCTGGGCGCGGTGGCTCACACCTGTGATCCCAACAACTTGGGAGGCCGAGGCAGGAGGAGCACTTGAGGTCAGGAGTTCAAGACCAGCCTGGTCAACATGCTGAAACCCCATCTGTACTAAAAAAATGAAATAAAATTAGCCGGGCATAGTGGCATGCCCCTGTAATCCCAGCTACTTGGGAGGCTGAGGTGGGAGGATGGTTTGAGGCAGAGAAGTCAAGGCTGTAGTGAGTTATGATGGCGCTACTGCACTCCAGCCTGGGCAGCAGAGTGAGACCCCATCTCAAAAAATAAACCCACACCCAAAGTGTTGGTTTACAGAGGTTTTCCAGTGCAATAGGAAGTTTCTGGAAACTTTAGGGAAAGAGGAGGACTAAGCAATGGAGTCAAGAGAATCCTTAGTGGTTTTCTACTACCTTTCATTTCTAGTCTAGTTCCCCTAGGAGGCAGGCAGGCCACGCCCTCTGACATGGCTGCTGGAGGCCGTGGCTCCTGGCAAAGGCCCAGGGAAACTATCCTGCTGAGGCCCATGGGGAGCTGACACTCAGGGTCACATCTTAGTCATAACTCCTCCCCTCCCCTTACACAGCCACTTCCTCTTTCTGCTGAGGACAGAAGTTGAATGAAGGACAAGCTCTCAGAATGTTGCAACCCCGAAGAACTTGAGTACGAGGAAGAGACGGGTGTTTATTGCGGGAACCGTTCCCTGGTGTGTCCTGGCTCGTAGAACAGCTCCAACAACACGTGCTCGGATGCCAAGGGTGCCATGAAGACCAATCCTCGCTATAATCCTGATGGAAAGAACTTCCCTGTCTGAACAGAGGGTGGTGGTAAGTAAACGGATTGTCAGGGGTAGAAGCGCCCAGCAGACTCCAAGCCTGGAGCATTTTGCCGGAGACCTCTTGCATGAACCATGATTCCACCAAGGGCTCAGCTCATTCCCCCAAGCAGTCACGTCATCCCCGTATACAGATGAAGCCACCTGCTAAGCTAGAAGTGGCAGGAAGAGGCCAGGTGTGGTTTGTGGCTGCTTGGGCAGTTGAGGCAGGAGGAACGCTTGAGCCCAGGAGTTGGAGTCCAGCCTGAGCAACATAGCAAGACCCCATTTCAAAAAAAGAAAAGAGTGGCAGTTAGGACTAGGACCTGGGGATATGGCTTCAAGGATGTTTCTGAGCCTCCAGGCCGCATTCTCTGCCTTTCCAGTTGATCATCTCGACAGGGAAAGCCTACGGGCACATGCGTGCCCAGATGGGCCAGCATCTCCCTTATCTGGCCCATGAGGCCTCCCTCTCCAGGCCAAGCCCCACTCTTTACTAGGCATTGAGGCCTTCCATGCCCTCAGGGTACAGATTCTCCCCCTTTCTCTCCCCTCCCCACTTTTTGAGATAGTCACACTCCAACGCCCAGACTGGAGTGCAGTGGCATGATCTTGGCTCACTGCAACCTCTGCCTCCTGGGTTCAAGTGATTCTCCTGCCTCAGCCTCCCCAGTGGCTGAGACTACAGGCATTCACCACACACACCCTGCTAATTTTTATATTTTTAGTAGAGACAGGTTTTGCTATGTTGGCCAGGCTGGTCTTGAACTTCTGGCCTCAAGTGATCCACCTGCCTCGGCCTCCTAAAATGCTGAGATTACAGGTGTAAGCCACCACACCCACTTCCCCATAGTTATTTGAGGATTTGCTTCTGGATCACCACCTCCAGGAAGCCCACCTCCCCAACCCCTAGTTAATTTTATTTTTTGAGAGGGTCTTACTCTGTCACTCTGGCTAGAGTACAGCAGGAGGCAGCAAGGCTGGGACCTGGGCACTGAGCACAGCTCACTGCAGCCTCGAATTCCTGGGCTCAAGTAATCCTCCAGCCTCAGCTTCCCAAGCATTTGGGACTACAGGCATGTACCACTGTGCTTGGCTACTTTTTATATTTTGTAGAGATGGGGTCTCACCCTGTTACTCAGGCTGGTCTTGAACTCCTAGGCTCAAGCCATCCTCCCACTTTGGTCTCCCAAAGTGCTGGCCCAAATTACAGGCCTGAGCCACTATATCTGACCTTTTTTGAACCCCAGCCTGTTACTCCCCTACAGATAGATCACACCACAACCTGCTTGGGCCGCGAGTGGCTCACCTGGAACAATCCCTTTGTGCTGCAAGTCCCTGGCTCAGGGACTTAACCTTAACCACTCAAATCACCTGGGGATTTTTTTTTTTTTTTTTTGAGATGGAGTCTTGTTCTGTTGCTCAGGCTGGAGTGCAGTGGCACGATCTCGGCTCCCTAAAACCTCTGCCTCTCTCAGGTTCAAGCAATTCTCCTGCTTCAGCCTCCCAATTAGCTGGGATTGCAGGCACCCACCACCATTCCCAGTTCATTTTTTGTGTTTTTAGTAGAGACGAGGTTTCACCATGTTGACCAGGCAGGTCTTGAACTCCTGACTTCAGGTGATCCACCTTCCACAGCCTTGCAAAGTGCTGGGATTACAGGTGTGAGCCACCATGCCCACCCCACCCGGGGATTTAAGATGCAAATTTCTGGGTCTGGGATGGGGCTTATAAGTGATACAGTTCCCACAAATGCTCAGGTAAGACCAATGTTCACAGACCATACTTAGAGTATCAAAGGCCTTCCTGCTCTCAGTAGGTCCAAAGCTACCCAAACCTTGCTCTGAATGCACTCTAGACATGTCTATACCCAAGTCAACATGCTGGAGCCCCTTGCCCTCAGCCAGACAGCAGGCCAGAGATAAGCACCATGCCAGTTGCACCTGAGCGTCTTTCAGCTTTCAGTTTATGCCTAATCCTGCTCAGTAGGTGCCACCCCATGTGGCCCACAAGGACTGGCAGGCTCATAGCAAGTACCCAGCCAGGCTGGGATGCCACAGTGAAAGCGAACTTCCCCGAATGAGAATGGCTTGAGTTTGGGGCAAGGCTGGAGCCAACTACTGTGGGAGGCTTCTCATCCCTCAGGGGTACCATGAACACCTTCCCCAAAGAAGGGGGCACAAGCTCCCTGGGTACCCCCCTTGGGGCACCATTCTCTTACTAAGTACTCCTAGGGACTATGGCCAAAACCTGGATGGAGGGAAGCAGCCTGTTTAGGGAAAGCGGCAAAGGTGGGGGGAGGTTGAGAAGCAGCTCCCATCAGTGACAGTGAGGCCTCACATCTATCATCCCAGGGCTTTTGGAGGCCAAGGGGAGAGGATCACATGAGGCCAGGAGTTCGAGGCCAGCTTGAACCACTTCCTACCAAAAATAGAATAAGCTGGGCATAGTGGTTCATGCCTGTAGTCCCAGCAACTCAGGAGGCTCAGGCAGGAGGATTACTGGAGACCAGGAGTTCCAGGTTGCAGTGAGCTATGATTCTACTACTGCACTCCAGCCTGGGCAACAGAGCCAGACCCTTCGCTCAACAAACCCAAAATCAAAGCAGTTTCTCAGCCTTCCTGAGGCCTCCTACCCCCAAAGCAAAAGTGCCCACCTCAGAACCACTAGCTCATGACATGGAGCTGCCTTCTGGAATGGCTAGGGGTGCCAGTCCCCCTTGCTACAGCATTGACAAATTCATACCAACATGCCTCGAGAATAGCTTCAAGCCCAACGTGACAGCTAAGACCAGGCAGAAGCAGAGCTCTCATCACTGCCCTACCGGGAGGGCCCAATCATGACTGGCCTTCTGGCCTCTAACGTCTGAACAGAGCTGGCTGCCTGCTTGCCTTGGAGAAGGGGGCCTGGAAGCTCCCGTCTCCCGTCTCCCGTCTCCCGTCTCCCGTCTCCCGTCTCCCGTCTCCCGTCTCCCGTCTCCCGTCTCCCGTCTCCCGTCTCCCGTGTCAAATCCATGGGGGCCAGAGATATAAGATTCTTTGCTGACCTAGAAGTAAGGTGGGTCCAGCCAGACTGACCTTCATCTAAGTTTCCATGTTGGTTCCCATGGAGGTGATAGATCATAGTTGTCCCCAAGGACATGAACCCTGCCCTGTTTACACTAGTGGCACAGTAGTGCTTGCTGGACTGTGCTATGTGAGTGCACGGGGCTGGTGGTATATAGTCTTCCCCGCTCGACACAGTCAGTACTAATTCTGATCTTCTATCACACCACAACCAGATACTGCTTTCTTTTTTTATTGGGAAACAGACACAGGGTGGGAGGCAGTGCGACACCTCCTGGTGAGAACCAGGATAACAGCGGTCAGAGTCAGAGATGCCACCACGGCCAGGCCTATGCCCAGCAGCAGCACGGAGGTGTCAGCCGGCAAGGCCCACTGCTCTACTTCATAGTCAGCACTCCTGTCCAGGAAGATCAGTGGCCCCACGGTGATATCTGCTTCTTCTGTCACTGTAGAAGGAGAACAAACACCCGGAGGTCATCTTAGTCCCTAACCAGGAATCAGATTGGAGGTTTATTCTGCCTCAGTGGGCTGAAATATGTTGTCTTTTTTGTATGGGTTAACAAAGTTTATAGACAAAAAAAAGACAGCTTTCTCGGCTAGGTATGATGGCTCATGCCTGTAATCCCAGCACTTTGGGAGGCTGAGGCAGGCAGATCACCTGAGGTCAGGTGTTTGAGACCAGCCTGGCCAACATGGCAAGACCGCCATCTCTACTAAAAATAAAGTTAGCTGGGCATGGTGGCACATGCCTGTAGTCTCAGCTACTTGGGAGGCTGAGGCAGACTAGCTTGAACCCGGGAGGCAGAGGTTTCAGTGAGCAGAGATCATGCCACAGTACTCCAGCCTGGGCAATAGAGCGAGACTCCATCGTGAGGGGCGGGGTAAGGCAGGGGGAAGGAAAGTTTTCTCATACAGAGAAAGTAGGTCACCCAAGAGTTATTTCCCTAGTATATTGGGTCTTTTTGTAGAGACAGGGTCTTGCTATGTTGCCCAGGCTGGTCAAGAACTCCTGGGCTCAAGTGATTTCTCTAGCCTCAGCCTCCCCAAGTGCTGGGATTGTAGGCATGACCCAGCATTCTGGCCAGATTGTTATTTTTTGAGACCGAGTTTTGTTCTTGTTGCCCAGGCTGGAGTGCAATGGCACAATCTCGGCTCACCTCAACCTCCGCCTCCCAGGTTCAAGCAATTATGCCTCAGCCTCCCAAGTAGCTGGGATTACAGGCATGTACCACTACGCCCGGCTAATTTTGTATTTTTAGTAGAGATGGGGTTTCTCCATGTTAGTCAGGCTGGTCTCGAACTCCTGACCTCAGGTGACCTGTCTGCCTTGGCCCCTCAAAGTGCTGGAATTATAGGCGTGAACCACTGTGCCCAGCCAGATTGTCTTAACAGCTGCCATATTTCCCCTACATGCCTAATGATGTCTCAGCAGAAGCCTAGGATGACAGCAGAGCTACCCTGGCTGCCACTGAGGTGGAGGGCCGACAGCCCTTCCTGCTTAGCCCCAGGATTTGTGTTAGGGAAAGGTAGCTGCAGGCCTAGGAGCAAACAGCTTTAATGGAGGACAAGGGAAAAGACCATCACCCTGAAATGACAGCAGATACCCTCGACTGAGTAGGGGACGATGAACAGCCTCTTGGCCGTCCTGTCACATACCATGCCTGCGGTTACGAGAAGCAGACCTGGACCACCGGCTCACGACGTGGGGCTGCCTCCTGGAATGGCTTGGAGTGCCGCAGTCACCCTTGCTACAGCATTGACAGATGTCAGCTGGGCCTTCCACTGGGAACCAGCTGAGATTAAAGACAAGCAGCTTAGATTTTTGTTGCCTGCAGGAAGCAGTTTGCTGGTAATACATTGGGGGAAATAGACAAGGTGTTGCCGATTCAGTTTCTACCCCAGTCACGGGGCACCTGGCCTCCTCACCTGTTGGAAGACTTGCTGAAGG